GCCCTACTTGTGGACTCCATCGAAATTTGAGCTGCCAATTGTGCTCATCTTAAGGAAACTTCATTCATTCTTTGTTGAGAAAGTAGTTATATATTTGTTTTAATTTAATTCAATTGTATATTAAGCTGTTAGGGAGTTACGGTTGTGCAGTACACTTCCTAACTAGGACCTCCTTAAGATCCTTGTAAGAAATAATCTACAAGTGTTATGAATCCACTTGCATTATATTGTTGAGAGATCCTTTTATATAACAAGTAATCTGAGCCTTTTCCTTATCCTTGCTTTAGTATTTTTTGTCAAAAAGATTGGTTGTTGGTGTCACACCTCCTTTTTCCTACACCTCGAGAGGGAGTATATGGGAGTTTTTTCCAATTTAAGTAATAATCGAAACAGGATTATTCATTTATTATTCAGAGTCGCCACTTGGGATAATTTATGGTATCCCAAGTCACCGGTTCAAATCCCGAATCGAGGAATGATTGACTCTGTTTTATAGTCCGCGAACATAGAAATTCAGGTAAGGAACTCTGTTAACCCGAGAGAAGGTGTTAGGCATTCCCGGGTTTCGTGGTTTTAGCACGGTCACTAAACTGTTATTATTGGCCTATTATCTGATTTTAATACATATTTTAGCCTATGGTATATTTTAGCTTATTAAGGCGCTTGTAATTATTTTTAGGAAGATTCAACGTTATTTAAAACCCGTCTTGAACCACGCCACATAAAATGCACCTACGGTCCATGACACATTTTATCTAACGTTGTTGAGATTTGGATTTGGGTCACATGAAATGCACACCTGAGTTTAAGGAAGTTAATTTAAATTACGCGCCTAAAGCAACTACGCACTTTCATGTTTGCGAGGGCCATGAAAAATTCAACTATATGGCACACCTCGATTTCTAAAAGATTAAAATTAATTAAGTGAGGGCCGTGCGTTTTGGGATTTTATTTGGCATGGCACACCTCGATTCCGATTTTAAAGGAAGCTCGAACTAAGTTTTTGAGGGCCATAAACTATATCTTACTTAAGATGGCACACCTCAACTAATTAAAGGATCTAACTAATTGAATAAAAGGCTAAGGGAATTTCCAATTTACTTTAGGCAAATGTTTAAGCTAAACTTTAATAACCAATGAACCAATAAGGGGGCCTAGGCTGTTTGATCTGTTGAAGGGGCCCTGGCTGGCTATAGGCCCAAGAGAATGAATGGGTGAAGGGCAGTCCAGGTAATTAAATCTTTCCACTGACTGGGCCAATGTTGAGTCCAATTCACAGAACAACACGTTGTATAAAATTGTTTAAGACACAAATTAGCTAAAGCTCATGAAACCTGAAATCGAATCAATATTTTAAATTCTGAATTCTAACTATTTGAGCACAAATCAACAGCTGGATTTCTGAATTTTAACATTCATGCATTTTGGCCAGGTCTGCCTTAGACCCAACTGGTCGCAGTGTCCAAAAATAAACATTGGGTCCAAAAAGAGCCCAAATCTAATGCAAGGCCAACTGTTGAAGATCTGGGACTCAAGATCGAGTCCCTCCAAAGGAAAGCAATGTGTACTGAAACTCAGAAAAACCAGACAAGCCTAAAGGAACTTCAGCAATATACAGCTACAGGCTAAAAGACTAAAGCATTACTAAAACATATTACATTTTAAGGGAAGTGTTGTTTGGGTCCAGTTATGTTAATAACATACAAACACCAAAAATGGTTCAGCACTCAACTTTAACTTTAATCCAAAACTAACAGAAAGAAATTCATGATTTGAGTTCAAAGGTATTATTGAACTACAAACACAAACTATATATCATTCCACTCTAACTTTTAACCCAAACTAACTTAAGAACAAATTATATGCAAATCAAAACCTCGATTAAACCTTTATAACATACCATATTAACAAAACCTTGGTGAGATTGACATTGGACGGACATATTTTTAAATATCAAGTCCAACAAAATAACATTCAAACACACCCAAACGATTCAACACTGGCCTTGATTGTTATAGTAAACACAACAGGGCATTTCCCCTCAACTATAGCCAGTTTCAAACAAGCGGGCAGCTAAGCAAAAGAAACATACAACTTAAAACTTCAATCTAATGTTATCACACTCATGGTCAATATACTAATTTAAGTACCTCTAAAACTAAATATTACAGCCATAAATGAGATTGAAAGAAGAAGAGATGAGGTTCAGCCACAAAATAACACTAGTTTTGTCACATTTCTAATTCCAAATTCCACATTACATTCAAGTGATGTCCATAGTTCCAGAAAAAGTACCTGGAAAAGCCAAAATAAGAGCAAAGAGAGTGAGGGAGTAGCTATAGCAGCAGGCCAATCAACAATGTAACATTACTAACCAGCAACTCAAAAGCCAACTTTCAAATCAGCTTAAAATCTTCTTAACCCAGATGCATGACTTTGAAACCTCCATCCAATTTCCAGTATTTTTTGAGCTTTTAAAGAGGCTCAGTCATTTTTCAATTTTCAGTATTTTTAGTCTCTAAAATATCTCTTAAATCCTTTTCCAATTTTCATTTTTGCTATTTATTCCCTAAGTCCAAATTTAGCTTTTCAGAACAGTCCTTAATCCTCCTTCTAGGAAGCTTCCTAAATCAGTTATAATAGACTCCCCAATCTAAAATCCCTGAACTACCCCTTAAACCCCTGTTAATTACTTCAGGAACCAAACGTATATGGGTCAAACTTGACCCAAAACTTAACAGGCCTTTGAAGTGGGGTCAACAATGGCCTCAAGGCCCAAACAATCAAACTGATCCAAGCCAAATTCAATGATTTTACCAAAAGCAGAAGAAAACAAGCACTTAAATGGTTCGAAAACTAAAATTAACTGCATGGCTGATTAATAACATAATCAAACGAACCAAGTGAACCCGGAATAATACTGGACATCTCGATTCAAATGAAACTGATGCTAATCACTTGTTCTTTGTCAAGAACAAATGAGCAGCATCAATTTGCGTTGAATCAAACTTCAAAACGCGAAAGAATCGGAAGCCTATGGTCATGCATGCCAACGGACTCAACAAAAATTGATTTTGGGCTTTAGGGCTTCAAACTCATATTTAAAATTCGAAGGATTCTGGAAGGGTTCAAGTGAAATTGATTAGGGATTGGGAGGGGGGATGCTGTGAGGGTCTTGTGGTGTTGATTTTGGACCGATCTGAGGCGGCGGCGCCGACCGACGAGGTTTAGCGTTTAGGGGCGGCTAGGGTTACTGGTCTCTGAAATTAGAGATGATGAATGAGGGAGGTGAGAATTTGT